AAGGAGGTCTTTTTCAATTACCCATATTATTTTTTACTTTAAAAAATACAAGTCACATGTTGATTTGCTATGTTTTTAAGAGTGGTTGTTACGATATGATCTTGGAGGGGCACTAGGTATTTGGAAGAACATAGAAGAATACCTTTAATAATTTGCTTCTCCATCAACCCAAGGGTGACCTTTTCCTCTGATCATCTGTTTCCTTTTGCTCAGAACCTATCTATGTACCGTTTCTCATCGTTGGATCCATCTTCATTGCTTTCATTTTCGTGGGCTCCTTCATTGCTGTTTATTGTTGTACCTGCCTGAGGCCTAAGCCAACCCTGCAGCCGCCGATAAGGTTCTCTCTACGGAGCTACCAGATGGAGACTTTACCCATGATCCTGAGCTCATCGAGTTTACGGGTTCCCTCAAGGCAATCCAGTCCAGCGAGCAGCTCCAGCTGTCCGGCTGACTACCTCTGCCACTTCTCCCTTGTCAAGCCCGAACCTGGAAGCCTGGAGCTGACTTCACCGCCACCATACACAGCAGGTTGCTTACCAATGGGCCATTCCCTCAACCTCTCTCAGTCATCTGGATTTTTGGTGTCAGCCACACCATAACAACGCATCCCCTTTGACCCGGAGCTGTCTCTAAGTGGGAACTGGGTTCCAGATTTAAGGCAGAGTCGAAGAGGTTCTGTTGTTTGAGGATGATGATGTGTTTACAAAGAAGCACAACTAACCACCTGCACTGTGTGGGTTTCACTGATGTTTTGTCTGGTTTTGGGATTGAAAACTATGTGAATGGTGAGTTGCTCTTTTCAAAGTCCACATTTTTGGGTGGGCGGGGACTGTTTTAGTTTCAAATATCTCTGTTTCATTCATAGCTGAATGCTCATTTCAGAGCGGCAGCAATATTGCTTTCAAAATTGCTCATCTGACTACTGTGATTTTATGTTGGGTGTCCAAAGCCTTCAGCTATGCTTCTGATGGGAGCACTGCTCCTGTACACGTAACTACGTAAGATAGATAAATCTATAATGAAGGCAGCATTCCTATACCAGCTTACCTGGAAGTAAGCCGCATTGAACACATTGGAACTTACTTCTGAGTAGACATGACTAAGATTGCAATTTGAGTAACCGTGATGGAGAGTTGTCAGGGATGATCACGTCCTGGACTTCTTTTTTGTGTCCTTCATGGCCCACTTCCAATTGTCAAAAATCAGTGATATTTTTTTCCTGCTATTTTGCAATGGCAATTTGCTTCTCAACACTTTCCATTCAAAAATAGGCTTCATGTAGTTATAAACAAAGGGGAAAACCCAGGGAACTACAGAAGAGGTTCCTCCTGCCAGTGTGTACAACAGTCTCCGCCTATTGTGCGTGATGGCCCAACATGCATTATGGACTTTTCCTTTACAATGCTAGGTCTCCAAGTCGAACTCATCTCCTAGTGGCTTCATGGGTGCATCTGTGTAAGTTTCTTGGCAATAATATGGACATGCCAGTGCCTTTTTTGAGATGTATTTTGACTTCACAGTCTCCTCTGCAGCCCTGAAATTTTCTGGCGGTTTCCATCCAAATGCTAACCAGGACTGATCCCGCTTAGCTTTTTGAGATCAGCCAAGTTGCTTTCACTTAGTTGGGTACTGAAAGGATTCCCATTCCTGATTTAGATGGTTAGCATTATTGATCATTTCAGTGGGAACTTAAAATCATGCTTATCTTCCTCCTGGAAGTGGGATACCTATGGGTTAATCCTTGCCCATTTCCCCCCCCAATTAACTTTAATAATATTTTTAAAGTGCAGTATATTATTTTTACCAGAAGTTTAATCACTTATTATAAAGAGAAGAATTTTATAAGTAGTTAGTGTATTATTCTGACACTAAAGCAAGCAAGTTATAAAATGAGAGTGATTAATAATAATGATTAAGATATTTAATATTAAGATAAAGAGTCTAAACATAGCTACTTAGGAATAAATCCCATTGAGTTCAGTGAAGCTTGTTCCCAGGGAAGTTTGATAGAACTGCAGCCTAATAGCTGAACCCTAAAGCTTGCTGCGTCAGGAATATAGATAGTAGAATTTCAGAATGCATTGAGTTCAGTTGCTAGAAAGTACATTGGAGTGCACAGGAGTTCAAACATAGCATTTATCTACAGCTCTTTAAAGCAGTTGTATCTTCTCCTGGGATCACATGGATACCTTCTGCAGCTATCTAGCCTGGAAAAGACTTAGCTGAGTTGCAGAGAGGTCCTTTGTACGCTCTAAATTACCTTTTTGCAGTCCTACCTAAAATGCTGTGCAGTCTTGTAGGGGAGTAGAAAGAGATCAGTTCCCAAAGCTGTCAAAATTGTCACTGCTCCACACACCGGCATTACAATTTCCAGGTAGTATCAAGACTGCATAAGGATTACTTGGCTCAAGCAAGTGTACCTAAATTAAAAGTAAGTTCCAGTAGGTAATACCTTGAATTAAGAGGGGGAATGTGAATATAGGTAGTCCCCAATTTAAGAAGGAGTTCCGTTCCCAAGGTCTGTCCTTAAGTCGAATTTGTATGTAACCTGGAGCAATATTATTGTATAAGTAGTATTGTGTAATGCTCAAACCATTGTGCATTTAACTTGAATCGTGTATTTCCCTTGAAATTTGCTGCAATAGGGTCCGTTCTTAACTACGGGTCGTCTGTAACCCGGGCGTTCTTAACCTGGGGACCACCTGTATTCACTCTCATGAAGGACCAGCTGTGTCAGCTTTTTGTTTCCAGGACCAAAGCTGAAAGTCCCTCCTTGGACCTGATGCTTGTGCTGTACATACTAAATTCCATTTTAGCAAGACTATAGCTGGACCGCCGTTTGCCCTGTCCTTTAGATACATTTGGGCTGAGGGGAAGAATCCGTGCCTTGTATCCTGGGACCACAATTAAGTAGGTACCCTTCCCCATAATCTAGATTTCCTGTGAGGGGACACTATCTTTCCCTGGCCTTTTTTTAGGGCCAGTTTGGCAGTCGCAAGGTGTGCATATTAATAAAAGTGGAGTGGCATTGCCTAGGCTTCTGGACTCTGTGTCAAATGGGATAGGGCCTGGCGATATTGACGAGAAAGTCACATCTGTCACAGCAAAGACAATTTAATGTGATTGATTATATGCGTCTCTTGCATCCTGCCAAGAAAGGTTCTCAATTTAAAAATGATTTCTTACAGGGACAGTGATCTCCAAAGAAAGCCAGTCTAAATGCTAGGATTCATGAGGTCACTAAAAATTAAGGGTTCCCGTATTTTTGGAACCAATTGTGATAGGGTGACAATGGTTTTAGACGTGGAGACTTGTCTCAACCTACGATCCCAGTTGGTACATTGTCAGAGAGACTTCCATCCTGCCTTGGTTCAATTCAGTGAATGACTGGCCATCAGTAGATCTAAATTAGCCTTCTTGTCAGCTAAAAAGTGAGGTTCTCAACAGGATCAGCTATGATTTGATAAGGAGTCTCTGCCTGGGAAGAAATTGACCACCTAAGTCTGGTGTGTTGGAAGGGTATTTTGAAAGTAGGATGAGATATTAAAAAGAAAGAAATAGCAATTTCAGCCAAACAATCAAGAGAACTAGCTTTAACTATAGTTAGTAAAAACCTTAAATTCTGGACTCTGGTGAATTATGGGATGCATTTCCAAGTACTGCTGATATTGCTAAAGCTGATGTATTTTCAGACTATTTTTAATAGGGCTGGGGGGTTATCACCTACCTAGTACTGATCATCATGATTTAAGCAAGAGACCCAAATAGTTAGAGTAACAGAATCAGATAGAGGGTGTATAATTAAGTCAGTTTTCCTCCAGAAAAGTCCCAGATGAAGATGGAGCATATGATGAAATGTTTTAAGGATGATTTAGCCTGGTGGGTACCTTGGTTGCAACATATTTTTATTCACATCAGTGAATCTGGCTAGAGCTTGGATGGAACAGAAATAGTATTATTGTAAAAAATGTGACAAGTTTTTCAGTCTGTAAGCCTTTAGTCTAATTACCATTGTGGGCAAAATGTTACGTTGGGTTTTTATTAATTAAACTGGAGGACTGGCAGCAGAGAATAACATTTTTTTCTGGAGCTTGGGTCAAGGAAGGGTACTCCAAAATTAATAAGATGTTTTGTTTTAGGTCATTTAATGTCTAAATATGCAAAGTTAGAAAAAGGCCACCATTTCCTATATTTATTGCCCTAAAGGTGGCTATGAGCTTTGCATGTGGTGGCAATAATACAACTAGAATTGCAATTCATTGCGAAACATATTTTACTAATCAGGTTTAAAATAGAACTGTGAACATGGTTTGTCATAGTTGAGATTGAACGTCATCTCAATTTATCTAAAATGATTTAATTGAGGGCTAGTGTAAAATTAAAATGCTAAAGCATTATCAGCCTTACAAATGATCTCAGTAATGTATTTATTTGTATGTTGTTGTAGACCTTGGATACAGAAATGGGGCAAATGGGATTACATTTTTATTTCTAAAATTAGCACTACACAGAATAATGTTTAAGAGTTGTAATTTAACATGTAACAATAATATTAAACGTTTTTAGTGGTACTCAGTTTTCTTCCAATAAATCATTCCATAGGTAAAATAATATTATGCTTATTTGATGTTTACAGTTTAAATTAACAAAAATATAATTTCTACAATTTTGTATGTTTCTTATGTTATAAAGTTTTGTGTCAAGCTGCTGAGTTCATACCGCTGCTTATATTACATTAAAAGATTAATCTCATCAATGCAGAAATAAAGTTTAAACAGTATCTATAGCTGACTTTTAAGTATTAACATAGAAGCAAACTCCCTTAAAACAAATGTTCCTGTCTTTCCTTCTCATTAGATTGCAATTCTATATCTAGTGTCTTGTTTTTAATGAGGCTTCTTAATAAATGTCTAGGATTAAAGTTCATGAGTTAAGATGACAAAACTAAAGCAGTAATTTCTTGGTTTTATTTCTATATTAAAAACATAGTGAGGGGAAAAAATGAAACACCATGTATCTTCCGATATAACAAATGTATTTGGACACTTAAATCCAGCAATGAAAGTATTACTTGAAATGCATGGAGGGTGTTTGGTATTTATTCCTTCCAACCTATACACTCATACACCAGGCCCTGGTTTGTTGAATAAATCAGTTGTCCACACAGCATCACAATAAGCCATAATTCCTAGATCCCCTAGTTTGGCAATGCAACCTTTTGTGTACCATACAAAGCCTGGTCCAGCTTTTGAGCCGATGGAAGATGCAGACCATTCCATAAATCATGATTTACTAACCAAATGGCTGAGTTCACACATTGTACTGAGCTATGAAGGGTAATCTTCAAGGTTTTGGTCTAACACTGGAGAGACCCAGGCTGAAGTCCAACCTCAGCTGTGGAACGAGTCTGACAAATAAATAATAAATTAATCTTGATTCGTGGAATAAGCTGCAATTAGCTGGATTAATGTATAAGCCATCAACATCAATGTATAAGCCATCAAATCAAAACCAAGCAGCAAATTATTTAATGAATTTAATGAATATTGTTTAGCGGTGGTTATCCTTCTTCAGGGGTCGGTTCTAGTTGGCAGTGGTAGGGCAGGAGAGATCTGCCCAAAGGCCACTGCTTGGGGAGTGCCCCAGGGTTTTTTCCTTCGCTACTTCTTTTTTAATGTTTACATGAAACCACTCTGGAAGATCATCCATCAACATGTGGTCCAGTATCGTTGATATATCGGGAATACCTAGCTATACATCTTAACCTCAGGTGATGCAATGGAAATGCTGACCTAGTGCCTGGAAGTTGGCAGGGTGGAGAGGCAACGATTGAACCCCTCCAAGAGGGAGTGGATTTGGATAGGGGACTATACGATTCTAAAGAAATACCATCTTTAACTCAGAATGGACCTCCATTCCACCATTCAGGGATGGTTCACAATTTGAGGGTCCTCCTGGACTCACTTGGTCCTGCTCAACCAGCAGGTGACAGCCATGGCCAGGGTTTTTTTTGTAACTTGTATGCCATTTGCAGCCATTCCTGGACTGGGAGACTCTGGTCACCACCACTCATGCCTTGGGCACCTCCCTGTTGGATTAATGTAATGCGTGTTACGTGGAGCTGAGTTTGGACCGCATTTGGGAACTACATCTGGTTCAAAATGCAGTGGCCTGGGCAGTGGTGGAGGCATCCTGGTTTACTTGGGTGATTCCCCTACTTTGGAGGCTGCATCGGTTGCCAGTTGCCTCTGGGATATCATTCAAAGTCATCTTTAAGGCTCTGAACCTATTTATCTGAAGAACCACCTTCTATATTAATCTATTTACTAGATCAGGTTGAATAGGGTCAACTCTCTGTCTATATGAGGATGCCATTTGACAAAGAGGGCATATTGGATTGCCACTTCCATACTTGGAATTCCCTCCCCATGGAGGTCCAGCCTGCTCCTTCCCTTCTGGGCTTTAGGAGAACAGTTAAGAACTGGTTGTTCCATCAAGTGCAGGAGGGGGGCGTGCAGTAATTGACAAGTTTAATTTGGCAGGTTCATGTTTCTGTACATTTTCTTTTTTCAAACAGTTTTGATACTGTGGTTTATTTCATGGGTGGTATATTGATTTGTTTAAATTGGCTTTGGGGCCACCTGACTCCAGTCCATCTCTGGGCAGCTCATGGTATAAAAAACAATACAATTAAAAGAAAAAGATACAGTAAAGGAAATAAAATGGCAAATCCAGACCACTAATATCAAAACATATGAACATACAACACATCCACTCCAAGGAGAACAGCTAGGTCTTATGGCTTTCTGGATTGGCATCTGGGTGGGAGCCACCTGAATCTTAGGGAGAATCTCATTCCCTAAAATGTATCATTTCTCATGGCATTTTTTGCTCTGTGATGTTTTTGGCTTTTAGCTGC